CAGAGACTGCTGGGACTATGCTACTTGCGAAACTGGGTAATGGTGTGGCGTGGAAAGGACAGGTGTGAGGGGAAAGTGTGGTCGAAAGAGGTGGAGAGTGAGGTGGTAAAGCAGTGGAGGGTGGAGTATAGACTAGAGAGTGGAGTGGAGAGTGCATGGCAGAGTGGAGTGGTGAGTGATGCAGAAAGTGAACAAGAGTGGAGTGGAAATGGGAGTGGTCTCTGGAGTGAGGGTTGAGTCCGGAGTAAAGTCAGAGTTAGACAGAACAGTGGAGTGAAACGTGGAGCAAAGACTGGGAGAATGGGGAAAGTGGGGAGGAGAAGGCTTGAAAGGAAAGCGGAGTGCAAAGCGAAGTGGACACCGGAGTCGAGTTGGCAAGGTTCTGCGATGGGTTTTCCAGGCCCTTAATGAGGTTTGTGCTTTTTGCTGGCATGTACCTCCCCCCGCCTCTTCTACCTTACTCACCTTACTCCATGCTACATAAAGCCTGGCTAACTTTCGTTGGCCTCGGCTCGCCGCTCAAGTGCCAGGCGAAGCGTGGCAGAACGATTGTCCCACCTGAGCTTGTTGCCGCACACTTGGGAAATTTCATGGGATCTTTGCGGACGGCACTGCTCGCCTCATTCAAGTTCTTGGTGCTCATCCAAGGCGTTCACGTCGGTGGTTGAAGCCTTTGAGACTTTGGGAGGTCCTGGCAGAGTCATGATCGGATGTCTGTCAAGCTTGTCCTTGTTCCTGTTTGCAGGATCTAAGTTGACAAGGAGAAGCTACTTTGCAGAAGATGGCATCCATCCCAATGAGAAAGGCTTCCCGCAATGGCCGTTTGGAGCCTAGAGTGGCAGTGGTACTGTGGTCTGCGCTGACAGGCACCAAGCTCCTGGCTTTGACTGTGTTTGCCGAGCTCCGGTCGAAGGTGAACGAAGAAACAACTCACATCTCACATCTTTTCACAATTTTTTTGCTGCTCTTCGCACAACTACCCGCATGGCAGGTCAGCAAGTACCTGCGCAAACGGGCAGACCAAGCTGCCCGTCCAGTAAACGATAATCCACTGGGCCTTTGAGGTTTGTCAGGCACCCAGAAATCTCAAACTCACCGCTGTGCGGCCAGCCTTGTTTCTGCTGAAAGGTTCTTGGCCTCCTTGAAAATGTACCCGCCTGCAGATTTTGATGCTCCTTGACTTCCGCGATGTCTTACAGCCAACGGAATCACAGTCGTGCATGCATTCTAGACTCCACTGCGCTGAAGATGCTGAAGTCATGGTTATTCACTGTAGGTGTTCGGCGGACTTTGGTCCAACAGCGGCCTGTCCCAGCGTTAAGAAAGTGGTCTTACAGGGATCCACGCTCATCAAGCCTTATTTTGTGGGCTTCCTGGAGTAGGCAGACTGGAGGAGTGACTGGCACGAGGGAACCCCTGGCACCCTCGCTCTCCCTGTCACACTGCCGTGATCACTCGGACATCGGTCATGCGTTGCATGCAGCAGCTTCTCGCATTTTTGGATTGGTTCGAGCAAAGCGTTGTCTCACCCAGAATTCGTGCTCCTGCCCTGGCATAGCTTTAAATGCCATAGCATCAACCACGAGCGGCTTGAGGGCAACGCTTGGTAGATGCTGCATCCCTGATCCCGACCCCACCCCTAGCTGCAACAATCCACCCCGCCAGATGCTTTGGCAAAATCCAAAAAGACATGCCTTTTTAAAGCAGACCTCGCACCAAACATGCTCTAAGATTGACCGAAAACGACAGGGGAGACAGCCACCACACATGACACGGGCCGCGTGCTTCAAGGTTGTCCCGATGGGGCTCACTCTGCCAAGTAGCTGACGCTTATGGGCTACGCATCCTTCGTGCGGCCGCCAGCGGGGTCTAGCGAATGGAAGAGAGTGTTGCTTCAGTTGACTCTTTGCAGGGTCATAGCCAGAAAATACTGAGACCCTTTCTGAAAATGCATGGGGCCTTTCGCATGTGATTGGTTCAGGTACCGAGATATGGCTTCGAGGACGCATACCCTCAGGCCTATGTCGAGGCCATCAAGCATTTTCTGACATGTAGTGGCAGGAGGGGCAGGCTTGGGTAGCCAGCTTAGGGATGTCACGTCGCTTGTGTGTGCTTTTCTACAGTGGTGTGAAACGAGTTGCACTGTAGTATTATATTATCGCATAATATCGCCATCTTTAAAGCAAGCCAAGGAGGGTCGGGGAGTTTTTGAACAAGAGGGTCAAGTGGCTTGCGAGGTTTCTTCCTGTGCGGGTCCCGAGCTGTACCCGGAAGACTTTCATGCAGTCTACTTTCGGCAGGCCTGACCCAGGAAGACACAAGCCGCCAGATCTTGCAAGATTTGTATTGCGAGGAGGCGGCCGCAGCACAGCGCCGCGAGGCCGCCGAGGCCAGGTGGTGCTGGAAAAACGAGAACTCTCGAGATCTCCCGAGCCTTGCCTGGTGCATCGCTCGCTCGCCAGGTGCGACTGCTTGAGGCCGAGCTGCATGCTGCTCGCACAAGTCCGCTGGCTTCTCTGGCCAAGTTTGCAGTTTGTACCGCTTCAGGAACACATGTTGGTGCAGGGATGTGATGAAGGTAATGTGCTTGCCAGGCAGCTTGGCTTCGAGGCCCCGTCACCTGCATTGAGCATGAGGTGGGTGTGCGTGTGAGACGGTCATGTGCTGTGGGAGATGCTGCTTAACAGGTTGTGCGTCGCCGATATGCGACGAAGGTTCAGCCTCCGACACCTCTTTGCAGCTTTGCTTGTTTTCCATTGCAGATTGCAGGAAGTTTGTACGGCAAAACCCGCAGTGGAAGCTTGTCATGTATTCCGTATATACCTAAAACAAACATGATGGCTGCCCCGGCTTCTGCTTCGCTAAGACAGAGTAGCATGAGTAGCCGAAAGTGTCGTGTGAGCACCTCTGACACAAGGAGTTGCACATTTTGACAAGATCTCTTTGACGTACATAGATCGGATCAATCATCAGAGCCTTCAGCTGGAGGTGTAAACAAGATTCCTTGAGGCACTGTAATCGCATGCTGCTTCCTTTCCATGGCCTTCGCTTAGCATTTCTTTCCTGTCGCGGGCCTGGTAGCGGTGGCATTCTCAGCATCCTCTTGCCAGCGAAGACAGTTTTTGGGTACATCGTGAAGCTATTGTGCCGCCTCAGCAATGAGCAGGACCATGACGCTGGCAGAGCGGGAGGCCGAGGCAACCCTCAACTGCTGGAGCACATGCAACTGTGGCTCCGTTGTGCACAGCCATGTCACTCCAGACCTTTTTCATAATGCCTACGCACTTGGCAAGGAAGGCTTGGAAGAGGAAGCGGGGATGGAAGGACGGAGCTCTTCGTGGATTTTTCCATATGAGCAGCTGCATTTATTTACGTAAGAGTAGAAGGCTAGTCGCGTTGGTATTTTTGCATTTTGAGTTCAGCGTTCCTCTGGGAACTAGATAGGTGCCCTGGATTGAACGAGATAGGCCACAGTTTTCTTTGCAATATGAGCCCAGCAAATGTTCCAAGATGGTGAACGAGGTCATGCGATTTTGTCAAGGTAGAATACAAGATTAAATATAAGGCAAACAAGATGAGGGGCCGTGGTTTAAAATACCTCATAGGGCCCTGATGACAGATTACAGATTTGCGGACAGTTGTCGTGTCTGGACGCATTCTCTTGATCCCCTTGCTGCAGCCTTGAACTTGAAATAGGATGTTCCCGGAGCTTCGCCGAAATTCTAGGCGGGCGGGTGATGCCAGCAATTGGAGAACGTAGCTTGTCTTTCCTGCTTCGCTGAAGAGGATATAGTCCTCCCAGTGGGTACTCATGGGTGGTACAGTCAAGCTTGGACTGTGGAAGGCTTTTTTCGGTGGATGACCCTGTGGTGTGTGCAGGACCAAATTGCGTCATAAAGCGCGTGGATAAAGACCAGAAGGCAAGGTGAGACTTGCTCAACCTCAATATGAAGTCCTCCACGTAATTTGAATTCGATATTGGGGTGCCATGGGCACGGTTTAAAGTAGATGAGCAATCTCGGCATCCAAGCAGGCCTAAATGCTGGATTTCACTTCATACTCGAGCCGGGCAGCCCCTCTATCATCCTCTATCCTCTCGATTAGCGCAGATTCTTGCCAACGCTGGGTGCTGAATTCTCCTGTGACGATCGGCCCAGGTCATCGGCCATGCTGCTCCTGACGAGATGCAGCAGGAGCTGGTGGCTCGCCAGGGTCCTAGTGAAGGGGCACACCTACGCGTTGGCTATGACGCCAAGCTTTGGCGGACCTTGCCGAAGATCTGAATTTTGTCTGGTCCTGCTTTGCCTGTCTCGGTTGAGCATTGCTTGCTTCAGGAGCTGCTACTCAAAAAAGACTGGGAGCCTGCGTTGAGCTCGGAGCTGTAGAAACTTCAGTTTGGGCATCGGGGCTCGGCTTTGTGCTGGCTGGTGCCTCTACAAATTGCCTGAGGTGCGGAGCACGTGCAGCATCTGCCTAGAAAGGAGCCGTGTCCCTGTTGTGGCTTGTTGCTCAACAGATCTTCATGTGCATCCTGCGAGCTAGCTTGGTTGCTTGAAGTCAGCTGGTGAGGAGAAGCTGCAATGGGCACTGAGCCTCAAGGAGCTTGTGGGTTGTGAGCAGCGCAGCTTGCTGGGAATTTGCAAGCAATTACCAGGATAGAGCAAACGAGTGCTATGCGGAGAGCAGATTTGAGGAGGCGTGTCTTGGCAACTTCTATGTATCCATACATGTCAAGCACACATTTGTCCTGGTCTTGGTATCAGGCAGCGCGCCTCTACAATGACTGCCTGGTGGCTCTGGACTTTGACGGCAAGGAGCACGAGACGGCAGAGGTGTTGAGGGTTCGGGGGTGATCAGGGTGGGTTCTAAGCCTATCTGGCCCCAATCAGCACTGTAGGTCACTTCCTCGTGTGAGGTAGTAGCGAAACTGCAGCTACCTGTCTGCACGAACTTGGCCGCTTGTTTGATCGAGTCAGGGCCCCAGGCCACGTTATTGACTTGGCCCATTTTTGCACTTCAGCTCTAAGGATGGAAAAGTACCAGGAGTGTGTTTGCACCCCAGGCTCTAATTGTGCCAGTTGTGATGCTTTCAGCTGTCTAATTCGTCACCTGAGCAGAAGCATGGCATTTGTTTGTCTGGCGCTCCTCCGATCGCAGCTTGGCTCCCTGGTCTGGTAGAGAAGGCTTGCGCACGGGCGCAGCTTTGCGGGCAAGGAGCCATGACAAATACCGATGAGGAGTCGCTCCTGGGGCGACAGCATGTGGTCTTCGTTGACAAGAGCTCCTCAGGGTGGTGTTCTGGCTGTTCAGGAATGTGCGGGTGCTGCGGCTGTTGCCTCTGTACCCTCATGGGTTTCCTGCTTTGGGTCCTTCTCTTCATGCTGACAACGCAGTGTGCAACACGCTCGTCACCTCCTGAGCATATGCTCCCAGCAAATGCCATTGCAGTCGGGAACCCAGGGTTTGCATACGACTCTACCCTCAGGGAGTGTGGGGCGTCGTATGGTTTGCCAAGGCTGGCGTCACCCCACCTTTCGAGATGGGGACCCTGGGCAACATGCTTCTAGGATGCCAGCTGGGGCTCTGCCTGTCGAATGTGATCCGCATGTGCTGTCCTCTAGAGTCTAGAGACTCCTTCCCTTGTCTGGCAGTTATCCCCGCACGTCTCAGGTTTCTGGATCCTGCGTTGGATCTCAATCTCACAGGCCGTCAAAGGGCAGTCCAAAGTCTGTCACATGCTGGTGCTTGTCACAACTTTCAGCACAAGTGGTTTACATGAAAAAACATCAAACTGTCTCATATGCGTGTGAAGGGATATGGTGGATGGATGGCAATCCTTTGACCGCGGAGTGCCTAGTCTCATATTCAATTAGTTCACTTGAGCTTACACTGGTCACGTAGATGTTGTTCTCAGCTTATGGCTAGGCGGACCACGCCTGCCTAGAGCTTCAGGCGTGAGGACGGTTGAGTCTTGACTCCAAGCTTGTGCTAAGGCAACTGGTGACCTTTGCAGGCGCACAGGGCATGGGGCCCTATCCAACCACCGTGGTTAACCCTTCCAGCTTGGCAGGCGCGAAAGGTGTCAGCAAACTTGATTTGCCGAGCAGAGCTTGTCCGGAGACAGCCCGTGCAGTGCTATTCTCTTATTGCCTTGTTTATCTGCATTTGTGACCTCCTTGGAGCGTTTCTTTTGTGCATGCCTCTCCACAAACATGCGATCTTCACAGAAGTAGCTACATGTGAAAAAAACTTGCCAAGCTTGCCCAAAGACGGTGATCTCAGCCGAAGGCGATTGTAGTGTCTCGCGTGTGGTTGGGATGGAGTGTAGTGAGTGCTGTGTCACTTTAGAGCCTTGGGCTCCTTCCGCCGACCCAGAACACAAAGGAAGGTATACAAGCACAAAAAATCTATGTGTCCAATTTCAACAGGGCAGTCTGAATAAAAAATCAGGGCCTTAGGCCCTACCATGGCTGAACCTGGTAAGGTTTCCTTGTTTGAGTCCGCCTGCTGGTGCCTTTCCGTCCATTTCCTGCAAACTTCAGCCTACCGCAAGGACAGTAAATGATGGCATTTTTTGATCGGCTTGGATTCCCTAGCTTTCGTTCTAAATCAATGAAACATCCTTGGCTGGCAATCGCTCCCTCCAAGAATTTCACGTTCAACCATGCAATACTCATACCGCAACTATCAGCTGTGGGAGGGTTCTTCATGTCTTCATCTTGTACGACAGAATTGGCAGTAAACTGCATTTTGCAGCCTGGGTCAGTTTGCCCCCTGAAACGCGAACTACCTTCTTTGAGGGCTTTCCCATATGCAAAGCACACCCAACTGTTGGTTGGAGCAGGAAGTTTTTTTGCCCGATGGACTCCACCCCCTGAAGGCCGCGCATTGGAGCAGTAGGCAGAGAAAGGTCTGAGCTGGTCAATACTGCAGGAAAAAGCTTGGACCAAAAACTTGCTCTCGCCAGCTGCACCGTTTAAAATTCCTGAAGCTTGCGTCTGGCAACTGCCAGCTGAACCAGAACCTTCACACTGGATGAAAGTGCCCACGTGTTCCATCAACATAGGACAAAGGTGTTCTGACATCAGCTCCTGTTTGGTGTTTTGGCTGAGGGATTCAGGGCAAGACTTGAATTGAACTGTTGCTACCATCAAAGAAAATGTCTACAGTAGAATGTACAGTAATGCAATTCTGGCAAAATTGCTGCTATGTGAGGGTTATCTTGCGGAGCCGCCTGCAAGCTTGAGTTTGCTGCTCCACATTTTGAGCTCAAGCAGGGAAAATGGTCACCCCAGCTTGTCATGCCGCCTCTGGATCATGGCCTAGAAGCAAAGTCTATGTGGGTTCGACTCGGGAACCTCTATGGGTTGTCACCCCGCTCCATGATTTGGTGTGGCAACAGCAGCCAACTCGGTACTTTTCAAGCACTAGCATGACATACTGTCGGTGTTTCAGAGTCCATTTTTCGGGTAATCATAATTTCGCACATCTGAGGCAGTGCTTGAAGGGCCTGGACAATTCTCTCACTCGCTCAAACCGGTTGTGGGGGCAAATTTTCGATGATGATGCTCCGGATGTGTGGGCGGTATCTTGACCTTTCCATGTTGGGACACAATAAATCATCTGATCCATGCGAACTTTCAGAGGTTTGTGCGCCGAAACACAACCGTCCTGGACGATACGATGAGTCCTTGACTACATCGGAGCTCTTGGAGAATCACATAGACGAGGTGGTCACGACTACGAAAACTCTCGGAATACTCCTGATTGACTGGTGCGGCCAATCGAAGGGGGACGCAGATGTCAAGAACCACAGCGGCATGAAGCATGGGGTTCACGAAAGTTGTTGAGTGTTGCTACTATTTCGCAAGAGCTGAAAAATCATGTTTCCATTCTGACATCTTTGGGGCGAGAGGGAGTGAGAGAGGCATAGGCGCAGAGAGAGTGAGAGAGAGGATAGAGAGAAACGGTGGAGATGAGGAAAGACCAAAACGACGGAGTCGCAAACCAAATGCAGAGAAATCAGGGAAAAGCAAACAACTGAAACGATCGTCTCTACTCACGCGCTGCTGTTGCCCAGTGCTGTGTGTTGTTCCTAATAATTAATCATTTACTCAACTCAGGGCTCAGCGAATTTTACGAGATTGGCTTCATCCGTTGAACAATGGGCACGTTGGTGTTGATGAAATGTCTGTACGGCAGGCCAGCTAGGACATGCCATGTTGTCAGTTGTATCCGTCAGCGTGAAGATCTTGTGCCTGCTTTTGGCGCAGGTTCCCATTCCAGTTCATGAAGGCTTGCTGCAATTGGGCAGTGAGCAAGCTGCTCCATTGCGGGCGCAGTCGTGGTATGCTGGCTTTGCCGCGTGGTTTTCTGATGCTGTTGACCGTGATCACTGCCAAAAAATGCCAGATCGATTTTTCTCGTCCAGTGTTGGGTTCTCAGGTTTTAACTTATGGTTTCCACGTTGATCGCAGACAAAGGGCCTGCCATGACTGATTCCAATTTCTGCAGCTTGAGGTGCAGCCATCGATTGGTGAATTTCTGGTTGCCCTACTGCAATATGGGAAAAGTGCTCCCAAGGTGAAATCCTCTACTTGGGCAGTTTTCGCGGAGGTTTTCAAACCATGTTGCGAGACACTCATCAGCAGAGCGCAGAATTACTTGCTCGCCCCTGGCAGCGCAGGCCATTCCCATGAGAGGTACGCAAGGTACGACAAATCGCAGCTGCAAGCAGCGGTTCAATGGTACATGAGGAATGACTCTTGCGGCAGTCTGGAGGAAGCGTGCGAGAATGTTGGCATGCCACGCAACCAGGCGCTGGCTGTTGCCAAGGTCAGATGGGGTTGTGAATAGCTTGTGTAGTGGCAAGAACGCACGGGAGAAGCCTGAACTTCTGTGTTCGCAGGCATACACCAGTGCATATTGCCATCGGCTGCATCTGGAATTCAGCAGAGCAAACTACTTTCAAGCGTCTTGTCAGAAATTTCAGCTTGGTGCAGGGTAGGTCAAGGCAGCAGTATGTCCATGTAGCGTATGTTATTGCCTGAGGTTCTTTTCGATGCTGGGCAACCCACCCCGCAGAAGGTGATGCTGTTTGCGGTTTGGTCTCCGGAACTGAGTCTGGGCGCAGCTCTTCCCTTTCAGGTGCCTTCCCATGCCATCCTGTGCAGTGCTGCCGGATTTGTCTGCATGTTTGCTCGCGCAGAGAGGTTTCCTGTGTCCGTGGGCAGAGTTTCAGGGGGTCAAGCACTGAAGAGCAGACATAGCACTGCAGAGTTGGATGTTCAGGGTTCGGATTGAATCAGGGCATTTAATTTTGTTGACTGATTATCGCAAAGTAAATCACGAGCAGCCAGGGCCTAGCTAGCAGCCCAGCCATTGGCCATTCGAAGCCCATGGGGGAGGCAGCCGTTCGAGATGCTTTCAGATGGGCCCACAAAGTCTGTATGATATGCTGCCAGAACTTCACAGACTCGGAGTTGCAGCGCTCACTGCTCTGCCAATCTTTTGGAACAGACACTGAGTTCAGTGGGGGCGCAGCAGGTTGGGAGGTGGCCGCCATGTTCTTGGAATCAGCATTCCGAGCAAAAGGCATACCAGCCTCTCTAGGTCCCTTAGCAGCATGCGACACCAAGCTGCAAACGAAGCCTGTTGTTCTCTAAGAGGTCTAGGGATACCCTTCCTACTAGTCTAGCCCAGGAGATTGATGGACACATGCGGCAAATGCTTGCGCCTCGTCTTCCTCAGCACGTCCACTTGTTCAGCAATATCCTTGACATTTTCGGCGACGGGCTTGCAGTGCACTCGGCTTTCATGGACCTTTCAGAGTACAATGCTAAGCTAGAGCTTGCTTTCAAGCTTCCCCGGCACCCATCTGCTTGGTGTGAAACCCATGGGCAGCGCTGCGAGATCGCTACAAACTGTGGTGCTCGAGTGGGCGGTACGCCTTGCCAAGATTGGTCAACGGCTGGGCTTGGACAGGGCTTGAATGGCCCGCAGTTTCCATGTCTGCTTGCGTTTGGG